TGGAGGAGACAGAGGTGGCTTTCCCCCAAGAGGGCCTCGGGGTTCCCGAGGGAACCCATCCGGAGGAGGAAATGTCCAGCACCGAGCTGGAGACTGGCAGTGCCCCAATCCGTATGTACTTCTCTTGACAAATTGAGACCCTACACTAGTGAAGTCACTCTCTGTCCCACCCGTTCCCATTGTGGAGAGGAGGACTGCTGGATTCTTTGTCTTGTCCCGAGGAGTGTAATGATGACCCGGATTCATGGGGTGGGTGGGTGGCCTAATCAGTCCATCTTCAGAGCCTTCCGAAGGAAGTCATGATCCCACTGGATTCCTGGGGTCCACGTGTACATACAGGGTTGTGCATTTTCTGGATCCTCCACCGGTCTTTCGGGAGCATTGCTGCATGAGGCTGTGGCTCTAAAGCCATTTTCTGTCAGCGGATCCTCTTAATGGTGCTTGACCAGGCTCCAGGGTTTGTGCTGGCGGAATGCGGTGTGTGCTTGCTCACGTTTGCTTAACTGCCTTAGCTCGGTTAGCGATTTCTCTTGTGATGTAATTTTATGCAGGGGGTGTGGAAACCAGAACTTCGCCTGGAGAACAGAATGCAACCAGTGTAAGGCCCCGAAGCCCGAAGGCTTCCTTCCACCGCCCTTTCCACCCCCGGGTAGGTACAGGTTTTGGGCGCATCCCCTCAGCATCTTGGTTCTAAACCTCTCTCGTTGCCTTGGTGGGCTTGGTAGACAACTGCCGTCCACTGCTCACAGCCAGGGCGGTGTCCCAGGAAGTGTAGTCTTGGCGCTGGAGCTCCTGAGATTCCATCATCTGTTCTCAAGTGTGCCCCAGAGATGCAGACCGAGTAAAGCGTCTGCTTTGTGTCTGCTCTGGGAGAAGGCAGCAGATCCTGAGCAGCCACCCGTCCTCCCCGTCTTGCTGCTGACCTGTCCTTTTCCCTCAGGTGGTGACCGTGGCAGAGGCGGCCCTGGTGGCATGCGGGGCGGACGAGGCGGCCTCATGGACCGCGGTGGTCCCGGTGGGATGTTCAGAGGTGGCCGTGGTGGAGACAGAGGGGGCTTCCGTGGTGGCCGGGGCATGGACCGAGGTGGCTTTGGTGGAGGAAGACGGGGCGGCCCTGGTGGGCCCCCTGGACCTTTGATGGAACAGATGGGAGGAAGAAGAGGCGGGCGCGGAGGACCTGGAAAAATGGATAAGTACGTGATGGGGCGGGCTTGGGGCGGGCTTGGGGCGGGCTCTGGTGGGAAGCTCCCTCTCCTTTGCCCCTTTTCACCCCTCACCCCTTTTGGCCCTGCAGAGGCGAGCACCGTCAGGAACGCAGAGACCGGCCCTACTAGACGCAGAGACCCCGCAGAGCTGCATTGACTACCAGATTTATTTTTTAAACCAGAAAATGTTTTAAATTTATAATTCCATATTTATAATGTTGGGCACAACATTATGATTATTCCTTGTCTGTACTTTAGTATTTTTCACCATTTGTGAAGAAACATTAAAACAAGTTAAATGGTAGTGTGCCGAGTTTTTTTTCCTTCTTTTAAAGATGGTTGTTTAACTAAGACTAAACAATGGGAACCCCTTGTGAGCATGCTCAGTATCATTGTGGAGAACCAAGAGGGCCTCTAACTGTAACAATGTTCATGGTTGTGATGTTTTTTTTTTTTTTTTAAAATAAAATTCCAAATGTTTATAAACAGTCATCCTTCTCGGCCTCTGTTGCACAGTCGCTGCGAGTCTACTTGGAGTGCACCCTGACCCACCAGATAGGCGCTCCTTCCAGCATCCTGGGAGGGGAAACCCGAAATGGTCAGGATGGCACCATGTCGGGTGTGGTGCTGCCAGCAAGGAAACGGGGGTTGCATTGTCACCTTCACCCAGAACCCTAGCTCTAGCCACGGGGACATCTGGCCCAGGTCTGACTGATTTGCAGGGAGGAGCTCCGTGGCAGAGGGCCAGGCACCGTGGCTGACTGGCTCCCAGGCCATTGTCTTGGTTTAGCGGGCGTTCCAAGTCGGGCTCCGCATGCTTCAGAACAAAGGCCTGCATCAGTGACCGCTAATGGGAACCGTTTGATGTGACATTTTCTTGGTGTTACCAGGTCAGAGTTTGTGAACTTGGTAAATAGAGGCCGCTGTTCAGCTCTCTCTGATTGCCTTGTGTGAGGTCAGAAGCCAGGGCTTTTCCCCAGGAGCGTGTTTCTGAAATTGCAGAGAGGAGAAGAATCCCAGACCCTTTACCTCTGGGCCTTTTTGGTCAGTCTTGTCTTTTCTTGGACTTGGTGAAGACTATTTAGATCCAGGCCAGTAGATTTTAAGTCTTGATGCCCTCCTGTACATGCGTGATTTCAGGCATCCAGAGATTGAGGCCCTAATGTGCCTTCCTGGGAAGAGAGGTTTTCCAGGTAAGCAACTGGATGTAACCCAGCCTGCAAATAGTTGATCACCAGATGCTCAAGAAGGAAATGCAGGCCTAAACATAACCCAGTCAGCAAAGACCAGCTAGGGCAGGGCTGCACACAAGTCCTGAATGGGGGCTGGGCGCTTCTGGAAATCAGATGTTGGCAGCTAGGACTCCTGGCTCAGAAGCGCAGTTGCTCAGTGTGCTGACTTGAAGCAGTGGAGTGAGTCCTGCATAACCTAAAGTCGCAGCCGCAGCTTCTCTCAGCATAACTATATTAGTCCATATTTCCAGAGTCCACAAATTGTATCTTACTCTGGTTTTTCAGAGCTTAAAGAATGATAAGTGAAACCAGCTAGTGTTTGAAGCTTTAAGGAGAGATTGTCACCTTTGCCAGGGGAAGGCACAAGAAGAATTTGGAATAAATTATTTCCTCTCCATCCCTTGGCCCATGAGAGCAGGCCTTGGGAAACCTCTTAGCCCGTGCACCCCTCCCTGCTCACAGTGGCCCTGCTGTCCTTAGGGTTTGCACTACTCGCCCGTGCTCTGAGGCAGACAGGGACAGGTCCTGGGCGCACTCCCAGCCCTCCTGGACGTACGTGCGACATCTCTGTGGCTTTATCTTTTACGTGACGAGTCATTTCTCAAGAATAGGCATTGCTCTCCCACCTCTGGGAAACCCCTCATCAGCCCCTCTAGGTGCCAAGCCATTTTTCTGTTCCCCTAGTGCCCACCCACTCCCTAGAACCGACTTCAGTCTTGCTTCTACTGATAGGGTAGTTCTCAAAGTCCCCAGTGACCACGTTGCCAAATCAGTGGTCCCTCCTCGCCCCTCTGGTGGCTGCTGTCCCCCCCCACACACACACCGACCTCAAAAGGTAGGAAGGCCACCTCTGAGCCGCACTGCCTGGCTGGCCTCCTCCTGAGTGATGGGCTCACAGAAGGGCTGGAGCCGGCCCCTTCCTCCAGCCCAGCTCAGCAAACCGGGGCGCCTGCCGCCTCGCGCGGAGCCTCACAGTCCTCCTGGCCGCCTTGTTCTCGTGTTGCCCCGGCCCCCGACCCAACCCAGCAGGCTCTCTTCAAAGTACGGTATCTAAGTCACCAGCGCCCCCCACCTCTCATTTGCCACCCCTCGCCGGGCTCCCCGCTTACCCCGGCCCCTCCAGCCCTTGCCCCCAGATGCCAGAGTGACTTCTTGACACCTTAAGTCACCGCAATTCTTACAACTGGCCAAGGCCTTCCAGCCCACGTGCCATGACCCCCGAGGCCCCTGTGACCTCAGCTGCCCCGCTCAGCCTTGCTGGCTGGAGTCTGGCCACACAGGCCAGTGCTGCTCTCCAAGGGGCCCTGGCAGGTGTCGGAAGCATCAGAGCCCGGGTGCACACCCTGAGGCCCGAGTTTAACCACGACATCCCCGGGCTCGTGCGGGGTGCCAAGCACCACCTCGCTGCATTCCCTAACCGGGAAGCCGCTGAGGAGGGAGCCTACCCGCGTCTCCCGGATGAGGCGGCAGGCGAGGCCAGAGTCGAGGGCAGTGTCCCTGCAGAGCCTGCGCTCCCCGCACGCGGGTGTCTTGTGTCTGGGAGGCCGGGGCTCTGGCAGCTCCGGGTAGGGCTCAGCCACCGCCCGGCCCGCGGCCCGCAGCCCGTGCTAAGGGGTGACAGGCAGCCCTCCGGCGTTCCCTGGCTCCCGCCTGGGGCTTGAGGCTGCCCCAGGAGTGGCTCGTGTCCCTGCCTCGAGAGGGGCTCGTCGCCAGCACCGAATAGTCCTGCGAGAGGTGTTTATGTCCTCAGCGCCTAGGCCTGGGGTTTGGTAGTGTTCATGTCGGAGGGCTGACTTCTCTCAGCCGAGAGGAACGTCTGCCCGGCTTCCAAGCTCCGTCTCCAAGGGCGGCGCGAAGCCGGTCAGTGCCCCTGGAGCTGGACGGGGAGGAAAAGCGGGGCTGCGGCCGCCAGGGAAGTCCTGCTTCCGTCCCACAGCCTGCTCCGAACTCTCCAGGAGCTCTTGGTCAGGCACACAGAAACCGTTTCCGTCACGGCCTCGTGCGCCCGCGAGGCCCCGCTCCACAGTCCCGGGCAAAGGCTGAGGCGTCGGTGGGGACAGCGACCGCGGACCACAGCGAGTGGCTCACCTGCCCCGGGGGAAGGAACGTGGGGCTCCAGGCCTGCAGCAGCTGTGGGGCCGAGGACAGGGCCGTGACCGGGGCCAGCGGCCGAGGCAACGGGGAGCCAGGCTCCCGGACACCGGGACCCCAGGGCCAACGGCTGGCTCTCCCACTCCCCCCACCCCCCGACACACACACGGAGCTGCCGGGCACAGGGCAAGTGACGGGCAGTGCAGCCGAGGCAGGCGGGAAAGCGGGCCCTCTGGGGCTTTCCGGCTTCGATTTCTCTCCTGGAGGGCACAGGAGGCAGCCCAGGGAAGCGGAGGGTCACTTGTCCCACAGCCGGGGCGGGAGCAAGCAGCTGTCATGCTTGGACCCGCCTTGGAACAGAGGAGCCCAAAGAGCTCCTCCCCCAGGGCTGTGCTCACAGGCTCAGGCTAACCCGCCGGGCTTGGAGTGGACCCGACCAGCCCCTGAGCTGCCCGGCACCAGGACCGAGTCCCGCCAGTGAGGGCTTTACTTGAAGACTCCGTGGCCATCGTCTGACCTCCACCTGCAACCCAGGCCAAGCACACAGTTCCCCGGCACCCAGCAGTGGAGGCCAGAAATCCGGCCACGTGCCCACTGGCCACGGGCAAGACCAGGTCTGCCTTGGATGCACAGCCTCCCGCACACCCTGCGGGAATGGGTTCAGGACAACCATAGCCCTAACCTCCTGTCCCTCCAGCAGTTTCTGTGACTTCCCTTGGTCCTGCAAGGACCAGCAGAGGTCACCACACAGCAGAGGGCGTCAAAGCTGAGGCCCTCCACAGCCTGGGCCAGGAGTCTGGCCATGCCAGTCAGCCCTACCCCTGCCACCTGTCCTATAATCAGACTGTTGGAGTCTGTGCTCTGGAGGGGGCCTCTGCGATGGCACGCCACGGCGCAGGGGATGGGAGATAGGGAGCAGCAAGCCCCCACCCCCGTGTCCCCTCTTCCTCAGAGGAATAGTAGACATCTGTCCCGACTGCTAACTAATGATACCATTTTCACAGCTCTATGATGCAACTGTCCCATTGTACACGTAGTACAACAGAGACTCAGCTTAACCATCTCACCCAACGGTGACCAAGAGCAGGGCCTGGGTTCAATCTGACCTCTCTTATGTCTAGAGCCCTGTCGTTGAGCAAGGTAGATATAAGCAGGACTCAAACTCCTGCACAGCTACTGACCGCACACATCCCTTGCCCTCTCTGGGCCTCCGGGTCCCCACATGGTAAGATGAGAACACATAAAATCATCCTACCTCATAGGATTATTTTGAGAACTAAATTACTTCATCTCCACACCTTGCTCTTCCCCCTGAAACCGGAGTTCCCTTGCCCCATCTCCAGCAGCCCTCTCTCCCAGGTATCAGCTGTCCCAGATCTGGGAGTCATTCTTGACTCTGTCCTCACATTCACACCCATTCACCAGCATATCCCATTAGCTCTCCCCTCAAATACAGCCAGAATCCACCATTCTCCACCATCCCCACTGGTAGCACCTGGTCTCCTCGGGGGTTCCTGCCCTGCCCACCACAGCAACCACAGGGAACCGGTTAAGACCTAAGTCAGGTTACACCCCTCCCCTGCAATAAATCCCTCCATGGCTCACATGTCCCTCCAAAGAGGCATGGCCCACAAAGCCTTACTCGCTCCGCCCCCAATCTCTCTATCCTCATCCCTCCCTCCACCCCAGCCTCACAGGCCTCCTTACTCTTTCTTGAACATACCAACCACATGCCCACCTCAGGGCCTTTGCACTGGCTGTTCCCTCTGCATGAAATACTCTCCTTCTAACCATCCACACGGTTCCTTCCCTTAGCTCCTTTCCTGACCACTGATTTAAAACTGCAGCCTCATCCCACCCCACACTTCCAGGCCACACCCCCTGGCTCCACTGCTCTCTCTTCCCTAGTGCCTCATCCCTGTTTCAGCCCAGGGGCTGCCTCCCTACCGCGCTGTGAACCCTTAGAGCTGGCTGTTTCCTTCCCCACCTTTTGCTCTTGGTTCCCAGTGCCAGAAGAGACCCAGCACACAGTAGGTGCCACATAAGTGTCAGGCATTACTCTTACTAGTTACTGGCCTTCCTCACTCTTTGTGGGTAGGAGTGCTGAAGGAGAGGGTAGATCAGAACCTGCACCACTTGGGTATCTAGACACTGGGCTGTGAGTCCATGAGTCATGAGGACTCAGTGAGATGATGCACGTGACCAGCCTGGCACCAGCAGGTCTGGCACACAGTAGGTACTCAACCAATGGCCCTGAGCCTTGAATGAGGATGTTCCCATTATAGCCAAGTTCTTCCCAAGAAGAACTTGTTCAAACCCGGACTCCACCAGCTGCTCTCTCGAGCCCCAGTCTGGGCAAAAGAGAGTCCCTCATAGAGGTGACTTGACTAGTTTAGGTCAAGGGCACAGAGCAGGCCTGGTGCACAGGAGGAGCTTTATGAAAGCTCTGAGACTTGGCTATGGGTGGTGGTGCTTCCCCCCAGGCTGGCCCGGCCTGGCCAGCGAGGCTGCAGCCCAGCCAGGCCTGGCCTCCCCGCCCAGCCAGCAGCAGGGGGCAGGATTTCCCGCTGGTCCCAGCCAGGTCCTTCCTCTGCAGTTTGAAAAGAAACCAGCAGCAATTAACCCTCCGGAGCCAAACCGACCCAGGCCACTTCATTATCCTCCTCTCCCCTTAATTCTGTGCCTGACCTGGGCAGCCAGAGGTGGTTGGGGACGGGCCTCCCCACAAAGGGCAGGGGCCAAGTTGTCAGATCCGCAGGCCTTAGCCACCTGCCTACCCCTCTGAGGCTCAGTGTCCTCATCAGAAAAACGGGTTCTCTTAACCTCAAGGTTAAAGATGAGCATTCAGTGAGGAGTGGCACGCCAGGCGGGCAGAATAGGCCATCCTCCCCCTCCACGAGGCCTGCCCTGCTGGTAGGAAGCTCGCACCCGGAGTCACGCTGGCCTCACTTATCTGACCTAGGAAGGTTCACTCCAGACGGAGGTGACTTTGCAGCCCCGGTCCCTATCGCTTCCTGAGTTCTTCTTGGGAACAGGCCGTGCGGCCCTCCCGAGGAGGCAGCTCTCCGGGGAAGGGGTGTAATTAAAAAGGCCCAAACCTCCCCAGGAGTCCAAGGAGGTTTGGAAGGGACCGCGGAGACCAGCCTGAGCGGGGATGGGGCGTCCGGGCTGGTGGGGTCGCCTGGGGGCCCTGGTCCCGCCCCCACTCCAGTCAGGAGACTCCAGCTCCTCCCTCGGTCCGCCTCGCCAGCCCCGGAACACCTCTGGCCCTTTAAGAGCGCGCGGCCCCGCCCGCCCCCTCGGGCCGGATCCGAATTCCAGGGAGGCGGGGCGGAGACGGCGGGCGGGCGGGTGCGGAGGCCTCAGCCGCGGGACCGGATCGCTGTGGCTCGGGCGGCGCCTCCCTGCGGCGGCCCGGCCCCGCTCGGCCCCGCCGGGGCGATGCTCCCCGAGGCCGCAGGATGAGCGAGGTGAGCGCGGGGACCCCCAGCAACCCCTGCCTGGCGCGCACTCACGGGTACCTGGCAGCTGCGGCCTCCGTTCCCCGGGGCTGTGTGACCTTGGGCGGCCCCCGAACCCTCTCTGGGCCAAGCCGAGAGGCCAGCGCGGGCTGTTAGAGGCCCTTCCGAGTCCCGGCCCCGCACGCACCCGGTCTGCGGCGCTGGGGAGTCTCCTCGGAGGAGGCGGGGCCTGGCTCCGGCACCCCCGGGGCTGCCCCGGGCTCTTGCGATCCGCAGCGCGGCTCAGGTCGGCCTGGCTCTGCCACGCACTGCTCTGCGACCTTGAGCGAGCCCTTGCCCTCTCTGCTCCTCAGTTTCCTCATCTGTAAAATGGAGATAAAATCACTAACACTCAGCCCTGGGCAGGGGCATTGCGGTTACTGTTACTGCTGTTATGTCGTTGTTATAATGACACAGTCCTTAGGGAAGGGGAGCTGACGGAGTACCCGGGACTTTCGCAGAGGAGGTGGGCCGGGTACCAGCCCTGAGTGATGGCCCTAACCATTCCTGCGGTTGGGACCCGGATTCCTGGACAGGTCCTGCCTGTCCACTGTGAGTCCACGCCTGTGGGCTGCATCTCTAGGGCTCTGCTTTCCACCTACCATGGGGGGCAATAAGGATGCCTGTGTGCCTGCCAGGGAGGGAGGATTCAGCCAAGTCCCCCACCACCCCCCTCCCAGAGGGAAATAGCAAACATTTACAGATACTAAGTCATTCATACAAATTATCTCATTAGGTCCTGCAAGGAAGGTACTATTATTGTACCCATTTCACAGACGAGGAAACTGAGGTACAGTGAAGTTTCTCACAGCCAGCACACAAAACCAGGCATCTGGCCTGAGATGACTGGCGAGTTGCAGGTGGTCAGCGGCTTAGTCTGTACTGAGTGCTTCCTGGGTCCTCACAGCAGTCCTGTGTCCCTGCCCACCCACAGTGACTCGGCTGGCCCGAGCATGGCGGACCCCGTGGCGGGAATCGCGGGTTCGGCAGCCAAGAGCGTGCGGCCGTTCCGCTCGAGTGAGGCCTACGTGGAGGCCATGAAAGAGGACCTGGCCGAGTGGCTCAACGCCTTGTATGGCCTGGGTCTGCCCAGCGGTGGTGATGGCTTCCTGACGGGGCTGGCCACGGGCACCACCCTGTGCCAACATGCCAATGCTGTCACCGAGGCCGCCCGCGCTTTGGCCACTGCCCGTCCAGCCCGCGGGGTGGCCTTCCAGGCGCACAGTGTGGCGCCTGGCTCTTTCATGGCCCGCGACAACGTGGCCACGTTCATCGGCTGGTGCCGAACAGAGCTGGGCGTGCCTGAAGTGCTCATGTTTGAGACGGAGGACCTGGTGCTGCGAAAGAACGAGAAAAGCGTGGTGCTGTGCCTGCTGGAGGTGGCGCGGCGTGGGGCCCGCCTCGGCCTGCTCGCCCCTCGCCTTGTGCAGTTTGAACAGGAGATCGAGCGGGAGCTACGTGCTGCCCCCCCGGCCCCCCATGCCCCCACGGCCGAGGAGGATGCCCCTGAAACTGCCACCACAGAAGGGGCTCCCGCCCGCGGGCCCCGCATGACACCCAGCGACCTGCGCAACCTCGACGAGCTGGTGAGTCCGCCAATGAGGGCGCGCGCCCATGGCCCTGCCTTAACGCCCGCACCGCGTGCCAGGGACGGGACAGCCTGTCCCATGGGGTGGTGCACATGTTGAGCATCAAGTGTACACCTGGCCCCAAGGAGATGGGCACCACCCAGAGAGGGAGAAGTGCTGGGGGAGGGCACATGGCCCCGCTGGGCCAGGGATAAAATCTGAACTGCACTGCATGATCTCCCCGCTTCCTTTAAGGGCTCCCCGTGCACCAGAGAAGTGCTGTATACTCCCTCATCCAGGGGGCCGCATGATTTGACCCCTTCTGTATGTACTCGAGGGCTAGACAGTTGCATCCACATCACAGAGCTCGAGGTTTGAGTGGGTGCCTGTGACCCTTGGCTCTGAGCAAGATGCCGGGCACACAGTAGGCTCTCGGTGAGTGCCGAGGGAAGCTCCCCAGGGCTCTACAGGCCCACCCACTCCCCCCGCAGCCCTGCGCACATCACCGATCTGGGAAGCCAGGCCCAGAGCTGCTGCTAGGAGCCAGAAGTCCTCTTAGGAGGACGGGATCAGCTCTACTGTGAGCACAAGAGGTGCCAGACCGTACCCCCAGCTCCCTCCTCCTCTTCTCGGGACCTAGGTATCCCTGACGCCCCCGCAGCCTGGCCAAGAGTTTCCTTCTTATCAGGAGGTTAGGACTATGATGTGCCTATCCCAGAGGGGGTAGCCGGTTGGCCATGGGCAGAGGCTGCCACCCCACCCCTGTCTTGGGCCAAGGTCACCCGAGGCTCCACCTGCTCATTTCCTCAGGCTCCACTGTGGGCTGGGAGGCGGGCAGGGCCGCCCACATAGCCAGCCTGGCAGCTCCTGGCCTTGGCGGGGGCATGTGGGTAGATGTGTGCTTGCTGGGCGTGTGGCCTCTGTGTGTGTGTGTGTGTGTGTGTGTACACCCACCCTACACGTCTGCCGCACCGATGTGGTGTGGGTCCCCTGCACTCGTGTCCCACGGCCTGCCTCCTCCCAGGACCTGGCCTCCCTGTGGGGCCTCAGCCTCTGTGAAGTAGGTGAAGGGGGAGTGAGGACGGCTTCCAGGACTGCCCCAGGCTCTGGGGCTGGAGGGATGCGCCTCACTGGGGTCCCAAGCCCCGACCTGACCACAGCGCCACCATCCTTTCCTGGTCAGCTCCCTGACCTCTGACAGCCAAAGGGGAAGGGGAGCTGGGGAAAGGTCAAGTGTAGAGCCCGCACCCAAGGCTGGGGCAACGCAATCCGTGCCCCGTTTCCCCGGAAGGACCTGCTTCCTCCTGAGCCTCGAGCTGCTGACATCAGGCCCCAGGAGGAGGGACTGGATCCCTGACCACCAGTCTCTCCCGTCTGACCTCAGGTGAGGGAGATCTTGGGCTACTGCACCTGCCCAGACCAGTTTCCCATGATCAAAGTGTCGGAGGGGAAGTACCGCGTGGGAGACTCCAGTCTCCTCATCTTTGTGCGGGTAAGAGCTCGGGGCTGCCCTGCAGGCCCACGGGGGGCTGCCGGGCCCATCCGACAGGCCGTGACCTGCCCACGCTGGGCTCCCACAGGTGCTGAGAAGCCACGTGATGGTGCGCGTGGGTGGCGGCTGGGACACTCTGGAGCACTATCTGGACAAGCATGACCCGTGCCGCTGCTCGTCCTCGGGTCAGTGCCCATGGCGGGGGGGGGGGGGGCGGGGCGGGCAGAGCACTCGTGTCTGTGGCACCACCCTTCACCTGCCACCTGTTCTCTC